TCAGTGGGTGCTTTTTTCCCCTTGGGTTGTGCTTTTTTCCCCTTGGGGTGGGCTTTGTTCCCCATGATGGGGCCTCCTATACAACCTGGCCAGGGAGGAGGTGGGTTAGGTGTGGAGGCAGGGAAAGCGTGGTCCCTGAAGTCAGTGCCACATCCAAGGTGTTTGAAAGATACCACCTAGCAGGGTGGTAAAGCTGGGACATCTATCATTCCCACCAAGGCATTGTATTTCTTGGGTCAGTTTTGAAGATGCATTCTGTAAGGGGGGGGTGTTTGCTTCATATTCTGGGGTATGTTTTCTTCTTGCCCTGGCCTAATGACTTTGGAGTATTTGTTTTAGCTCTCTGCAGGTATATTCCCCCATGTAGTAAATGAGGTTAACATTAGCTAATGCCTTTGGAAAACATTCAGTGGACTATGGAGGAAGGTTCCTGCGTAAGACACCAGATATTTTAACCTCAGTCAGACTTTTTGTTTCAACATGGAGTCCACAAAACCTCAATGCCATATATAAACTTACACTTAGGTAGATAGGACATATTGTGTTTTACTGGTTCGTAGAGCCTGATTTATGAAAGAAATAAATGAAAATGTAGCACCTGCAAGATAAGGGTAAACAGTCAGTTCTATAGTGAAAAAGGCAGCCTTGTTTTAGAAAAAATCCCAAAGACTAGATGTTTTTTCTAGCAAGAAGAAAATACGTGTTCCAAATAGTTTTAAATCAGTTAAGTCTATGTATTTTTGTACAGAGGAAGTAAAACTCTGGCCCCACCAGTGCTAATGACAAACCACCCAATGAAGTCGGTGGGGTCAAAGTGTTACCCTGAGACTGTATTTATTTAAAAATAATTCATATTTCTGACATTTTTATATATACTTACTTAACATAGACTTACAGACTTCCGCTTCGTGCCTATATATATTATCTTTATAGCAGTGCCCTTGTACTAATGTTGTAAAATCTTTTAATGATATACGCAGAAAAGATTTTCTAGTTTCTCTTTCCTCCTGTTCAGAGGTCACACCATATGTTGTTCTTCTCTTTCTTGTACAGTAGACCAAGCTTTTTGCCCCAGCATCCAGTTGCAAACAACAGTGGGGCTCTGATGCTCCATTTTTTCTCTCAGCAAGAATGATCTGACAAGTCTGTAAACCATTTCCCAGGCCTGCTGGGTCAATTTCTTGCTCTACAAGAGCAATGTTTTAATTGCACTCTGTGACATATATTTAATTTATTTTCCATAATCATCATATATAAATATATTAGAAGGAAGGCTTTTTAGGGGGGAGGAGGGAATAGATTTGTTGGGTTTTTTTTTGCTGGTTTTGTTTAAATATTTTCCCAGTTAGGAAATAGGAGGACATGACATTTTCTTAATTCAGACCTCTGTACCAACATGTCTGCTACTCATATTTCAGAACAGGAGCATATATTGCAAAACAATCAACGCTGCCATTGCTCAAAGATATACCAATATCTTGAGTAAATTTTGTGGTGAAAAAAGGCTTAAAATCCCCTTTGAAGTCTTTCCCTGAGCTTTGTTAAACATAGTTCATCAGTTCAATGAGAAGAAATAGGTGTGATAAATTTTTCAGATATGTTCTTGAAAATCTCCACCTGAGTTCACACCCACAGTTAACATATGCATCTGTGTATTTTTCTGACCTTGTACATAAAGCTCTTTCAGCTGTTGTACTTATAGATGATTAAAATTATATCATTATATCTGTTTCTTTGATCACAAATTAATGTAACACATTGTCTTGATTCACAGTAACTTCCAGCTTTGATGTTTTATTTAATGAAACATGGCACTGTGTTGGAGAATCCCTAGGGATTTTTTAATTTCTTTTCTATTTTTTTAAATATATACTACATTTTAAATGGGATTAAATTGTCTGATTAGTGAGGCAGGATCTTGCTGTAACAGATAAACCCTGAATTCCTCAGGGCAATCTGCACCTATTGTTAAAGAATCTTTCCAAGACACTCAGCAAACTACGTGAAAGTTGATCAAAATATTTCCGTCACACTGAGACTGGTTTCATGCTTGCACCCAGGCGTTGCTCTGCTCATTCATCTTCCTCCATGCAAACATTTACTTTTAACATACACAAGTTCATAAGGCTGCAAAGCCGTTCCTTTGGTCCACCTGGAAAGAGATGCCATTGATCTGCACTTCAGATTCATACACATCTGTAGTTTCTGCACCATCCAGCTCCCACCCATGGCCACTCATCCTACATTTATTTTAATTGCCTCTAGCAAATTAGCTGGGGCAAGTGGAACTTAATAAACTGGCTGAAGATATTGGAAGTCACTTTGAGGGAAAAGGCAATTCTTATGCTGTCAAGCAATAATGGCAGCCTTGAGAACCTGGGGCCATGTCATTATGCTCTTTATTACATTTTATAAAGACTATATATTACAGAAGTAACATTGTAAAGTTGAGCAGTGACAGTCCAAGCAGTTTTTGTCATACTGAATGCACGGGAAAATTCTTCTTCACTTTGTTTTTTATTGGCTAACACAACTGTCTTTTAAAGAGTCAGTCAACATGTTATGCAAGAAGAAAAGCTAGGAGTAGAGTCATCAGCAAAATAAGAATCCAGATTAAAAAGGCATAAACACAAAAGACCTTTTAACTCACTTTCTACCTCAAGTTGTCACGTTCTTAATATTTATTTGGAGACAGATAAATATATCACATTGCTGCAAGACGGACTTCTATGCATGGAATTTATTGAATAAAAGGAAAAAGTTACACATAAAATCAACTGATTATTTTATAAATAATTCAAACATTTAGTGTTATGATAGCATTCCCATTTAAAGAATGCTGAAGTTCCTCTGCACAATGCACAAGACAGAGCTTTATAATGCAGCAAGTCCCAGGATGGACATCATACCTAAGCAGTTCACACAGGTGAGTAGCACAGCTGCCTTTTTGAAGAGCTACCCATGTGTAAAGCTATTCTTTTACAACAGAATCAGTGGAAATAACTCACAGTGGGAAAGGTGATGGTATAACTTTTTCAGGGTTGGGCCAAAATAAAGTTTTGCATATTTTCAGGATCAAAAGAAGGGAACATGAGAGAGGAGTAGGTGTTGTTTCATAGTGTCTACACAGTAGAGAAAAACTCTTCAAATTCACACAGGTAAAAATACTTTTTTAATAGCATCTTTCTCCTCCTGACCACTAGTAGATATGAAGACTATTGACCCAGTAGAAAGAACATTTTGCTCAAGGGGAAATAAGGGTTGAAATAGTTACTGGCAATTTAAAAAAAATATCAATTTAAAAGCTCTAGGAGAAGAACATATAGGAAGAACCTGTTTGCATAGATGCAGTACAGGAAGGCATTGCTAGCAGAGATCCAAGAGGCACAGTGTGAAAACAAAGCAGGGCCAGGGAATCCGTTAAAATAGAGGCAATAAGAGGAGCCCTCAGAAATCATCACCATGTTCTAGGTACCTGTCTTTGGCAACCGAGTTTTATGAATATGTTTATTTACCTTCTGCTTTGCAGAAGGTAGCTGTCACGTAGATAGCTGATTCCCTTGTAAACTAATCAGCTCTTTGGCTGGAGGTAACAGTTAGGCAGGGGTTGTAGAACTGGCTTCCCACATGCTGCCATGGGCAAGACCTAAGCCCAAAGCACTGAACACATGAGTCCATAGCAAGGATTCCCCAGACTTGTGTGCTACTGATGAATGTGCATGTTGGGATCAAAGTCTCTTCATTTTCCAGGCAGCACGTAGGCCTCTGCTGAACTTCCAAAAGCAGGGCTCAAAATCTGGCCATGCTCACCCTTCCTTCTAGTGCCTTGTCCCTGAGCCTTTCAGGTCCCTGCTATGTCCACAGCATAGAGCCCATCTCTCTGCCCACTGTAAGAGCTGTGTGCCTGCCCGTGTAACGATGTCGTGATTTCTGAATGTTTCTTGTGCTGTTGTGAGTATCGATATCACAGTTGGTATTAAACATGAAAGACTTGAGCCTAGTAATGCGCAGTGAGGGTGATATTTAAGACTGCAAACATAAGGCATTTTAGAAGTAATCACTATCCAGTGTAGAGTAATAACCCCATAAACCACAAAATTACAAGATCTTTCCCACTGGAAAATAGCCATGAGAGAGAGGCTCTTTCAAATGGATCTCTGACCCGAGAGATAAAATTAGAAAACTCCAAGCTGACTGTTGTGAAACCATTTTTGCCTAGGCCAGTAATTTAGAAAGTTGAAATAAGTGTTTGAGTGTCTGTCCTGAGTTTTTTGAGGACAACGACCATATTGGTACTAACTTTAATGGGGCCCGGATTTTACTCCTGAACTTTGTGTTGTTGATCCAAAGCAGTCAGCATCAAGTAGTGTCATTGCTCATAGGAATGAATTCAGGACAGCACTCAATTTGCTAAGGAACTTTCCCATTAGTAGGTAAAAACAAAAGCCATGCCTGCTTGTTTGAGGAAAGTTCATATGAAAATATGAGCATCTAAATAGTTTTTGTGAAAAATACCACCAGGAAAAAATTGATAGTGTCAACTCAAATGACAAACTATAATCTGTGGAACTCAGAACTGACTTGAAGGAAGTTGTGCATTTGCTCTTAAGAAAAAATCTGACTTTTTTTCAGGGGAAATTTGAAAGAAGAAAATCCCATCTCCAACAAACATAGTGATTTTATTCTAAAAAGTCACAACGATGCCTTGAGTTTAGTAATGTCAACTTCCTCCACTCTAGAAGGTAGTTTGAGGATCCTTTCCTAAATAAGCTTTTCATGATATAAAGAGATGGAAGGAACTAACTTAATTTGCAAAAACTTAGCTACAGTTGAACCTTCATCCACCTAGACTATTAGGAAATATTTGACCAATCCTTGTAAAAAAGTTTATCTCATTAATATTTTTATACCAATATTATAAATGTTAAACAAATTAATAGAAGAATTTATATAATTTTTATGTGTATATATATATATGTATATATATATGTCAAGTATATACACAAAGAGGCACATAGACCTGCAGTAATTCAATCATCCTAAAGAAACCCTCTCTCCATTTGAAATGATTCCACAATCCAAAAATGAATTAATGCACAAGGTATAAATAAATACCAATTAAATATGTGTATTTCTGTTGAGGAAGAAAGGACTATTTTGATATTCTTCTCTTTTAAGTAATAGTTGTGTTCAAATTTATCTGCTACAAAATATGTTTGCTTACTCATTTCTTTTTGTAAATGTTTTAGTAATCAGGTGAAAAATTCAAATGTCCTGTGTATATGCTGTATTTAAAAGTCATCAGCTTCTAGAATGGCTTTTTGACCCAGATAGGTCAAATGCTGTTGACACTGTTTTTCAGTCACACGTTCTTCTTTCCTCAAAACTACAGGTCACCCTACCCTGTCCAGAATACAGTCCTTGTATTCCTCTGTAAGATGCAGACACTAAGACACCCTAAAATTTAAGCTCTTTCAGGCTTAAAAATAGATGTAGGCAAAGCCATCATCAACACGAGGCAAATTTACCTCTTGGGGGAAAAATAAATGCTTACACTGTAAATAGGGATAAGTGCTGTAATATTTCTGGGCATCATGGTGCTGGGAAATCCCTCTGCTGGGCTCTTACATCATGCAAGACCATTTATGGAGTGCTAGGCAGTGACAGTTTAAGTTATGAAACTGCTGTCTCATGCAGCATATCAGAGCTGCCTTTATAGCAAATCTCATTAATTTCTTCATCCAGAAAGAGCAAATTCTATACGGGAGCATTCTGCATAGCCACCCTGCAGAGCAATAGATTGAAACTGCATTTTAGCATTTACCTCTTGCTCAAATATGAATCAGGAATTGGACTTGGTAATTTATCCATCAACAGCAATGTAACTGCAGATGAACAGGAGGAGTTTCATGGATAAAAGGAGTGTCCGTGTAGTTCATCCACGTGGATGAGGAAGACGCATTTGAAGTAACACCTCTGCAGACTGCAGAGTGTTCTTCTGAAACTTTTACAGTGAGCTTGAGCTCAGGCACAGCAGTTCACATTACAGACCCTTGCAGACAGAAGATCCAGAAGGGACGCCTACCACAGCCGGCAAGATTCTGGCCCTCGGTTCATACTTGTATTTACCGGACAGTTGAAAGCCTTACGGAATTCTTCAAAGTTGCTCATGGCTCCAATAACTCTGCAAAGAGAAAAAATGGTTGACAGGCAGGCTATCTGACCTTAAACACTTGTAAGTATTTCAACATGCTCACTTCAGGGGGAATTTTCAGGCTTCCCATGTCATTTCTCCAGAAATAAAAAATAGACGTTTGGGAGAACTGCCAGAAAAAGTTAACATAAAGACAATCTTGTTTTATTCTGTGCTTTGAGAAGTATCTTATTTTGCTGGAATGTCAACCAAAAACAATTGCACATTGTGTTTGCAAATTGTGGCTAGTATGTCATTTAGAGAATTTTCCAATGGGACTGTTGGTGAGAAAGGTGGGAGACCGGTGATAGCCTTGTGTGATGGAACTCTTCTTCCAGCACCTGCCAAACTGCTGCACCCAGAATACAGAGCATGTGAACACACACGATGGGGGTGCTGGAACTATTTCAGTTTGGTGCACACCAGCCAGGTTCACATAAAAGTCCCTTGACCACAACATGCACACAAACCATCTCCTTGGGATTTTACAGCATGAAGCTGGGGTAGCATCTCATCCTTGGGCATCTCAGCTCCTCTAATATTCCGGAAATTCATTTTCTGAGGCTTCCATCCTGACTGGCTCCCAAGCTCTCTTGCTTCCATCCCACAATGGCATGTTGCTGAAAGAACAGTGCCTCTTCACCTCACACAAGCCAAACAATGTGCCTGAATTGCAGATTGACACTTTCAGGTACAAGTGAAGTACTTTTTCTTTGTATGCAGTCATCCTTGGCTCTTTCTTCCACATCTGTTTTATTTCATGCTGTCAGAAATGATTATTTTACCATTACTAGATTGGGATTGTGTTGTTTGTTGATTTTTTTTTTTTTTTTTTTTTTTTTTTTTTTTTTATTGTTTTAAAAAATTTGTAATTTAAAAAACATAAATTTTAAATTGTTTTAAAAAAAAAAAAAAACAGAAAAAAAAACAAAAAAATAAGAAAATAGA